AATTTGAGTCCGCCGTGTGGGTCCCATTGTGTTGGGACCCCCCAGGCAGCTTCGAATGTGGCAACAGTTTCGCACTGATCGCAGCCCCCAGGGATGGCGAGTACAATTTTGAAACTGCCGTGTGTACCACTGTGTTGGGCCGCCCAGCAGGCCTCAGAAAGGGCGACATTTTCGCAGATCGCAATCCTCCCAGGGATGGCGAGGTACAAATTTGAGTCTGCCGCGTGGTGTACCCGCATTGGTGCGGTGCCGCCCCAGCATGCTTCGAGAGTGGCGACTGTTGCGCAGATCCGCAGCCTCCCGCCACCCAGGGACGGCGGGTACAATGTGAGTCGACGTGTGTACCCACTGTGCTGGCCCCCCAACCAGGCCTCGAAAGTGGCGACGGCTTCGCAGATCGCAGCCCCCGCAAGGGATGGCGAGGTACAATTTGAGTCCGCCGTGTGTACCCACTGTGCTGCGCCCCCCAGCAGCCCTCGAAAGTGGCGATGGCTTCACAGATCGCAGCCCCCCAGGGATGGCGAGGTCCCACTTGAGTCCGCCGTGTGTACCCACTGTGCTGGGCCCCCCAGCAGGCCTCGAAAGTGGCGACAGTTTCACAGATCGCAGCCCCCCAGGGATGGCGAGGTACAATTTGAGTCCGCCGTGTGTACCCACTGTGCTGGGCCCCCCAGCAGGCCTCGAAAGTGGCGACAGTTTCACAGATCGCAGCCCCCCAGGGATGGCGAGGTCTAATTTGGTCCGCGCGTGGTCCCAGTGTGCTGGGCCCCCAGCAGGCCTCGAAAGTGGCGACAGTTTCGCAGATCGCAGCCCCCCAGGGATGGCGAGGTCAATTTGATCCGCCGTGGTACCCACTGTGCTGGGCCCCCCAGCAGCCCTCGAAAGTGGCGACAGTTTCGCAGATCGCAGCCCCCCAGGGATGGCGAGGTACAATTTGAGTCCGCCGTGTGTACCCACTGTGCTGGGCCCCCCAGCAGGCCTCGAAAGTGGCGACGGCTTCGCAGATCGCAGCCCCCCAGGGACGGCGAGGTACAATTTGAGTCCGCCGTGTGTACCCACTGTGCTGGGCCCCCTAGCAGGCCTCGAAAGTGGCGACAGTTTCACAGATCGCAGCCCCTCAGGGATGGCGAGGTACAATTTGAGTCCGCCGTGTGTACCCACTGTGCTGGGCCCCCTAGCGGGCCTCGAAAGTGGCGACAGTTTCGCAGATCGCAGCCCCCCAGCTGGCACGCAGCGACGAGCGAAGGCAGGGGGGGAGAGAGGGACGGGGGGGGGCGGGAAGGAAAGCGCGAGCGGTGCTCTATTCAAAACGAGAACCCAACGCAGGAGGGTTGGGAATAACAAGAAGCATCAGCATCAGCATAAGCATCAGCTTCTGGAGATCCGCACGGATCTCTTGGATCGGCGCTGGGGCCCCTGGCGGCGCCTCTGGCGCCGCCCCTGGCGCGCTCCGCGCGCCAGGATGGGGGGGTCCAGCGCCGATCTAAGATGTCCGCGCGGACCTCCGAAAGTTTGGCGCCGATCTAAGATGTCCGCGCGGACCTCCGAAAGTTTACCCGTCAGTTGTGTGTGGATTCCCAAGGTTCCACTATGGCCTGGGCGCCTTCCAACTCCGAGCGTCGAGCCTGTTCCTCTCTTCCCTCTGCTTGAAGGGGTGGGCGGACACCCAATCTGCTTTCAACGCCTTCCTACCGAGTGTTTCGACCAATTTCTTCCGACCGATGGGCACATTCATGCGGGCAAGGCCCCGGGCTGGGTGAAGTTTCTGCGTCTCGTGGCCCCTCTCCCCCTCCTCCCACTCGCGCAGCAGGGCCACGATGCGGCCTCTGGAGCTGGGCGAGAGGCGCTGGTGGCATGAACTGTGCGGGGCGAACCGCTTCCTCCCCCACGAGCGCCGAGACTGCGCGGCGAGTGTGCCCGCTGCCTGCTCCCGTCACGCGCCTACGAAACCTTCGCGGCCGGAGCACGCTCCGCCGCCCGCGGCCTCTCTTGCGCCCCCTCGTGCCCAAGTCGGCTCCGGTGCGTCCCGCGGCTGTCCCGACCGCGCCTCGGACCCACGCCGCCGCCGACAAGCATGACGCCTCTGCTCCTCCATCGCCGCCTGCCCGCGGGCGGCCGAGGCGGCGCGGCGAAGGTCCCTGCTGCCCGTGCCCGTTCCCCCTTCCCGCCGGCGGCCAGCGGGCAGCCGGGCCGCTGTGCAGGGAGCGCGCGCGGCTGCCCCGCCGCGGAGAGGAGGGCCGGTGCGCACAGGGGAGCTTCCTCGCGAGGTACCCTCAGTGCCCGCGCCAGGCACTTCGAGGAACTCCAGGGGGGGGGGGCAGGGGGGCAGGGCCGGGCTTGGCCGGGGAGTGGGGCCCTGAGAGGTGTGGCGCCGCTGCCGGCCTGGCCGGGGGCCCCTCTCCGCCTCCTCCTCCTCCTCCTCCTCCTCCTCCTCCTCCTCCTCCTCCCTCCTCCTCCTCCTCCTCCTCCTCCTCCTCCTCCTCCTCCTCCCCGCACAGGGGGGGGGGGGATTTAATAGGGGAGGGGGGGGAGGGCGGCTCCTGAGACGGAGGCCGCCTGTTAGAAGGCGCCAGGCTTGCATCTACTGGTCGTGCCCGCGCCTTCTGAGAGGCAGGAGGCCTTCCGCACCTCCCTCTACCCCCTTGTGCGCGCGGCCGACCCTCGGCCCATGGCCTGGCTTCGCCTCCGTCGTGATCCCTGGGCGATGTCGCAAGTAGGGCGGAAATGTCAGCCCTACTGTTCAAACTCCTCTGGCGCCGAGTGCCGCCCTGCTTTGCCGTCGCTGTGTTCCGCCATGACTTTGCGGAGATGTTCGCCCTCCTCTGAGGCGGAGAGTTCCGCCCCCTATTATTTGTTCGATCGTTCTGGGTGCATCTGCGACACGGTTGTAGGTCGGAAAATAGACCCAAGCACGGCGGCTCCGATGTCAGGACCGAAAACCAACGGCCCAAAGCCGGCTTTGCCCGTCCTCCTCTCGTCTCGCTTCTTCCTCCCTCCGTCCCTCCTCGTCGCTGTGCTCTGCCCGCCTGGGGCCCTGGTGCGCGCGCCGCCGTTCCTGGACTTTCGTGCCCGCGAGCTCTCGCCCCCTCTTGTGTGTTTCGCTCGTTCTGGGAGCTCGGTCAGGGTCACTGCCTCGTTGCTGTCAGGCTCGCCAGGTCCGTCCTCCGCTTCCCTTGATGTTTCTCCTTCCTCCTTTGGCGTCCGGGCTCTCGGCGGCGCTTCGTGTGACGTTCCAGGCTTGCCCGGTGGGCCTTCAGTCTCACATCGTGGATCCATGTGTGCAGCGGTTTGATGCGGGGAGGGGTAGGCAAACGAAGAAGTGAGGGAATGACGGTCCAGGACCCGTCTAGGAGGAGGAGGAGGAGCAGGAGCAGGAGCAGGAGCAGGAGGAGGAGGAAGGTCACCCGCGGGGGCGCGAGGATAGATCACCCTTCGCGCGTCGCGGCCTAGGCCGGAGAGCTGCCCTTCTCCCGGGTGGCCTCGCGAGGGCGCGAAGATGGCCGCGCGGGGCGCGACGCGCGCAGTTTGGTGAACGAGTGCCCCCTCGTGAACAGTGGAGCAGGAGAGAGGGCAGCTACAGGCGGTTGCGCTTCCAGGCATTGGGCCTGAGTGTTCGTCGTCGCGGTGTTCGCGCCGGCTGCGTCGAGGGACCATTGCGGTCGCTGCTGCGCAGGAGAGGCGGGTTGGTAGGGCTGGCCATCCTGCTGTTGTTCCTGCTGCTGCTCCTCCTCCTCCTCCTCGTGTTCGTAGGCCAGACTGGGCGTTTCGCCTGAGACTTCCTGACAATGTATGATGCTCAAACTTACAATCTGCATCAGCTTCAAGTATGGAGGGCGGGCTGTCTTCGAAATGGAGCTCTCGCACTGGCGCCGCGCACATTCGTTTTTTTTTATGTTGCATCAGCTGCAAGGATGGAGCGCGGGCCATTTTCATAATGGAGGTTCCGCTTTAGCGCCGCGCACATTCGTTCTAAAAGTTCGCAAGAGTTTGACAGATGGATGGCGGGTCGTTTTCAAAGCGTTGTTTTCGCCGTAGCGCCGCGCACATTCTTCTCACAAGTTTGCAAAAGAGTTTCACGAATGGAGCGCGGTACCCTTTCCCAATGTGGTTCTCGCCGCAGCGCCGCGCAAGTTCGTCTTTACAGTTTGCAAGAGCTTTCAAACATTAGATGGCCGACGTCCCAGGAATTATGCTCTGGCACGGCGCAGCAGTCATGTAGATTCGCTGCGGTGAATTACCAGGAATGGCGTTCTGGCGCGATTCCACATTGTCAGGACGCAACAGTCACTTTGATTCGCGGCGTTGAAGTCCTAGGAGTGGCATTTTTGCAAGAGCCGCGCTTCTCATCCCCATCAAATGTATAATGTAAAATGGTTGTGCGATTTTGTTGTTCAGGTCCTGGCGAGGTATCCCCTCTTTTTCAAACCGGCGGCAGAGAAATCCTTTCCTGTTTGAGTTCTTCGGACGGTTGTCTTCAACGGGCCGCTTCCTGCAATTGAAATACATTCATACAGGGACTGATGAATGGTAACTTGTTTGAAGTTTTTTTTGTTTTGCGACTTCGGTGATGCGTTTTGGGTTTACACTGGTTATCCTATCCTTCTCGTCCTCCTCCCCCCGGCTGACCAGCTTACAAATGCTGAACCCATCATGTGCCCTGATACACAGTTCCTCCTTGTCGCACCCCGAGACGCGTCGGTGGGGCGGGCTGGGCGTTGCGCTTGAGGTTTCCTCGCAATCTATGATCCTCAAGCTCGAAATTTGCAGCAGCTTGAAGGATGGAGGGCGGGCCGTTTTCAGAATGGAGGTCTCGCTTTAGCGCCGCGCGCATTCGTCTTAAGAGTTCGCAAGAATTTCACCGATGGAGGGCGGGTCGTTTTCAAAATGTTGTTTTCGCCGTAGCGCCGCGCACATTCGTCTGACAAGTTCGCAGAAGAGTTTCGCAAATGGTGAGCGATATCCTTTCCAAATGTGGCTCTCACCGTAGCGCCGCGCACGTTCGTCTCAAGAGCTTACAGCAGTTTCAAGGGTTCTTATGTTTGACGTCCCAGCGATTGTGATTTGACACGATGGGACTGTCAGGCCGCAACAGTTACGTTCTGTCGCTGTGTCGAAGTCCCACGAATGGTGTTCTGGCACGATTCAGGATCGTCAGGACGCAACAGTAATGTTGGTTCGCGGCGTTGAAGTCCCAGGAGCTGTGTCCTGGCACAGTTCATGATTTGCTGACGGTTGTCTTCCAAAGGCGCCATTTTCTTCAGTGCGAACGAATCCTTGTAGGGACTTGTGAACATGGGGGGTCATTACAACATTCTTGATGGGTCTCGGGTTTGCATTGGTCCTCCTCATGCGCTTCTCTATTCTCCTTGCCGCTCGCGCCCGTTCAGGTCCTGCAGCTTCTCGGCCCCAAGCTTGCTCTTCTCGCCCCCCGCTCCCCCCGCCGCGCGCGCGCGCGGCCAGGGCGCCAGGGGGCTTGCGGTTGCCACCGCCGCGCAGGTTCCTCTTCACCTACGCGGCGGTGTTCTACTTGCTGGGCTACGAGCTGCTTTGGGCCACTGCCGCAGGCAGGGGTCCCAACGCTTCCTCCGTGATCTGGCTGGTTCGGGGTCGCTCTTTCACCCCGCCAGTCAGAGCTCGGGTGGGGGTGGGCCGGCTGCCTCCTGTGGGCACCCGGCAGCGGCGAGTGTGCACACTCTCCGCTCGGGCGCCGCTGCCCCCCTGGCAGTGCGCGCCCGTGTCATCTGGGCGTGGCCCCAGCCAGGCCGTCCAGGCAGGCGTCTGACCTGCTCGCGGGTTCCTCCCGCGCCTGCCGCAGCTGCTGCTCGTGTGACGCTGGCTTCTGAGCCCCGTCCCGCAGGCTCGGCATCCGATGGCGCCTGCCTCCCTTTCGCCGCTACAAAACTCCCCTCCTTCCTCTTGCCTCTTCCCCTTGGACCCCGGAGCGGACGCCCATCTGAGGAGAGGAGTAGGAGGTGGAGTTCCCTCGCATCACGAGGAGGCCGCGCCATCGGCCCGGAAGAAGAGTGCTCGCGCTACGCCCGTTGCCGGCGCCACTCAAGGGTCGAGCCCGCCCGCCGCCGAACGGTCTATTGCTCGCGCCACGAGTGTCGCCGCCGCCTCTCGGAACACCGCCCGCCTGGCAACAGGCGGAGAGGCCACCGGCGCGAAGATAACGGCGTCCAGGACGGAGGAGTCGGAGTCGGTGGACCCTCTCTTTCTCCACTCCCCCTCTACTCCTCCCCCTCCAGTCGCCGCTTCGCCATGGCTCAGCTGCCGTTCGCGGCATCGTTTCCCTCGCGTGGGCAACGACAGGCGCGCGCGCGCCCAGGGCCCTTCGGGCGGATCGGGACCCAGCGGATTTGAGGGGGTTGGCATGCGCCCTTCCAGCGATGCTGCTACGGCCCCGCAGGGGAGGGGTCGTGCCGCCCACTCAACCGTCGGCCTGGCTCACCAGTCTGGCCGCCCGCCGCGAGCAAGTTTTCTGGCCGCCTCGCCCGCTCCCGCGGGTTTTCGGCCCCCTCCAGGGTCGGAGCCGTCGGTTGTCGAAACCAGGCGGGGCGGGAGCTCTGTTCGTTTGGCAATCACCCACGAGCTGTCGCGCGCGGTGCCTCCCCCGCCTACTGTAGCGGCGGACGCTGTGGATTCTGGCGGTTTGGAGGGGGTGGGTATGCGCTCCTCCAGCGATGCTGTTGCGGCCCCGCAGGGAGGGGTTCGTACCGCTCCCCCAGCCGCCACCGCAGTTAACCAGCTTAGCACCCCGCCGCGAGACGGTCCCAAGGCAGCTTTGCCCTCGCTTTCGGGACTCCAGCTCCCTTCAGGGTTGGAGCCGCCGTCACAGACGCGTGCCGAGCGCACAGGGCCACCGCGGAGCAGTCCCAGAGCCGCCTCGCCGACTCGCGCCAGCTTCCGGCCCCCCCCTGGGTTGGAGTCGCCGTTACAGCCGCGTGCTTGGCGGATGGGCCCACCGCCTGGCTTTGATGCACGAACACCAGCACTGCCGGCGGCAGCACCAACGCCTGCGCTTACGCCGGCACCAGCGCCAGCGCCTCCTCCTGCGCCGAGGCCGGCACCGATGCCTGCACGAGCGCCAGCACGGACAGCGGCAGCACCGACGCGTGCGCTTACACCAGCACCAGCGCCAGCGCCGCACCGACGTCAGCATCAACGCCAGCACCTGGCGGCGTCAGCACCGACGCTTGCGCTTACGCCGGCACCAGCGCCAGCGCCTACGCCAGCACCGAGGCCAGCGCCGACGCCAGCCCTGACGCCAGCACAGACGGCGGCAGCACCGACGCCTGCGCTTCCGCCGGCACTAGCGCCAGCGATTACGCCAGGGGGCGCTTCGACAGTGTTGCCCTTCCACCCGCCACCTGGGTTTGAGGCGCTGTCGGGCCCTGCGGTCTGGCAGGTGGGGCCATCTCCCTGCCTCGCTAGCCTGGAGGCGGGCGCTCGGGTGCCGCCGCCGCACAACCGTTGCGCGACCGACGCCGCGGTTGGGTTTCCTTTTCCTGACAGCGGAAGTGGGCAGTCGGCGATCCCCTGCCTAGGGGCCTCACCCCTGCCTCCAAGGGAGCCGCTTGCGGTCAGTGCCTCCCGTGCGAGCGCCCACGCCATCTTGCACTCGCTCGGGCTACTCGGGAATCCAACCTCGGCGTCGACGGACCCCGCGTCCCTGCCAGTGTCGGCCCCCTTGTTGTCAGGCGCTACGCGACATGTTTCTGCTGCTGCTGCAGATGGTTTCGGGGTAGCTGGTACCTGCCTGCCGGGCGCCGCTGCTTCGGCGCCACAGAGCACGGGTCGCACCGATCCCTCAGCCCCCGCCGCAGCTCGCGATTTGGGCACGCCGCCGCAAAGCTGTCCTATGGCCACTTCGCCGTGTCTTCCAGGCTTCCTGCCCCCACCAGGGCTGGAGCCGCCGTCACGGCCGTGTGCCTCGCGTCGCTCTGGGGGCGCCCTCCGCGAGGCTAGAGGCGCTCCAGCCCTTCGCCGACGTGGCGGTTCGTCTGGGTTTTCAGCCATTCGGGATCGCGGCCACGTTGGCCAGGGCACCTGCGCCACCTCATCGCGTCCAGCTGCGCGCTGGGACCCCAGCTTCGGCGCTCGTCTCAGCGTGGGGGAAGGCTCGGTCGAACGCCCCTCCGCAGGCGCTCCCGCCTGCCCCTCCCGCGCGCGTCCCCCCGCCACTTGGGCGGGCCGACCCCGCTGCGGTCGCCGGCTCCGCCGAGGGGGTCGCAGGGGACGCACTGGGGCTGCCTGCCGAGGCGCCCCAGAGGGCTCTCGATCTGGCTTTCATCTGCCAGCGGGAGGCGCTGCAGCGGTGCATGTTCATCGTCCAGCTGGTGGGGGGCCGCGGCTACCTCGGAACCGCATGGTTCCTCACGGGGATCAAGCCCCCCCCGTGTCGCGTGACCTGGTGCGGGTGGCGGCAGGCCCTTGCCGCGCCCGTTCCGCCGGCTCCCAGGCCGCCGGCGGAGCCGCCCTCCACGGCGGCGCATCCCACCACAGGGGTGGACGCACGCGAGCTGCGTGCACCGGCCGAGGGTTCACGCAGCGGCGAGTCGCTGTAAGCGACGACGCTGCTGCTGCCAGGCGTGCCTGGGCTGAGCGAGGCCGCGAGAGTAGGCACGCGCTCCTCCAGCGATGCTGTTGCGGCCCCGCAGGGAGGAGTTCGTGCCGCTGTCGCGACTCTCGCTCTACCCCTGACTCCCCTTCAGGGCCGAGTGGCCATTTTGGCAATTTTCACCGTGCTGCCGAAGCCCCTTCCGACGGGGACTCAGGCGCACCGCCCGTCGCTTCCATCGGTTCTGTTGCCAGTGGGAACCCCCCTCGAGTCGACCTGTCCTCCGGGGTCACTACCGCGCCACCGGCCCCTCGAGTTGACCTGTCCTCAGGGGCCGCTGCCAGTTCCGAAGCCTCTCGCGTTGACTTGTCCGCGGGGGATTCGAGGCCGTCTGCACCTACCGGCACCACGCCTTCCTTTCCCAAGGTCGCGCCCTTTGTCGCTGACCTTTCTGCCTTGCTGCGCCTGTTTCCTGGCGCGAACATCGATATCACCCATTGGGCTGCTGCTTTAGCTCAGGTTGGGATGGGTGCTCGTTGTTCTCTGTCGTCTTTCACCCGCACCTCCCTCAGCGCGTCGGCCCGGGACGGCTCGTACGTGTTGGAGCCGCCTCCCCGCGATCCTTGGCCGTGCCCTCCAGCGCCTTCTCTGCCGCCGCCTCCTGTAACCTTGACGGGTCGCGCGCGCGAGCGGTGGCGCTTGAGGCGCGCAGCGCGCACCTTAGCACAGCACGCCGTTGTTGCGCTAAACTGGCTCACCTTGGGCCATCCCAGCCTCGCTCCCATCGAGGCCCATGTGTGCACAGCGGCCACGCCCTGCCAGGAGGGTACTCGCGACCGCCTCGAGCGGTTGTGTCGGATCGCAGTTCGCCTTGCCCGCGGCGGCAAGAGCGACTTAGGTCGGGCTTTCTCCAAGTTCGACGCCACTGAAGTCTCGCTCCATGGCCTGGCCACCCATGTTGCAGCTATCGAGGCTTCCTTCACCTCCTCTTCCCAGGTGCCCGCCCCCATGCGGCAATGCCCGTCCAGCGCGCCTCCTGTGCCTGGATCGTTGGCTTCAGCGGCAGGCTGGGACTCCACCCAGTCTGAGCCCTTCGACCTCCGAGTCAGGGCGTCCCGCATCAAGTGGGATTATTCTCCGACGTTTGATCCCACTCCCTTCCTCGCCGACGCGCGGGTCCGCAAAGCTTTTCACGACCCCGAAACCATGCGTCTTCCGTCGGCCGAGTGGCCATCGGGCCTCCCGGGGGCCCGCGTCCACATGGACCGTGATCAGCTGTGGGAGCTTCTTCGGAAGTGGGACTCCTGCGGCGCCCTGTACTTGACTCCCACCTCAGACCTGGCTTGGGATGAGGCTTGCGGAGCGTTCAGGGTCCCCAAGGACAGCGAGTACGATCGGCTGATTCTTAATCCCACGGTGGTGAACAGTCGCTGTCAGAGCATTTCTTCCAGCACTCAGCGCCTTGGGCAGGGTTTCCTGCTCTGCCGCATGGGTCTCGCTGCAGGCGAGTGGTTGGTGGTGTCATGCGATGACTTACGCGAGTTCTATTACACCTTTAAGGTGCCACCAGCTCGAGCGAAGCGCAATGCCCTCCGCGTGCGGCTGCCCAGTGCGCGGTTCAAGGCATTCAATGCGTGGCGCCCTGACCTCGAGGGCGTGGATGTTTCCCCGTGCTTGAACGCGCTGGCTATGGGCGACAACATGGCCGTGGAAATCGCAAACTCTGCGCACGAGGGTGTCCTTCGCAGCTTCGGGGCTCTTCGCCCCCATGAGCAAGCTGTGCACAGGACTCCGTTTCCGCGTGGCCATTTCGTCGAGATGTTGAACATCGACGATCACACGGGCTTCCAGAAGCTGTCCTGGAATGGCCTAGCTCCCCGCCCCGACGACCCAAATCGTCGTGATAAGGAGGTGTTTGCTGCGTGCGACCGCGGCTACCCTCGCGTGGGGCTGGTCCAGCACCCTGGTAAGCGGACCCGTGGCGCGACTCATAAGGTCGTGGTCGGTGCCGAGGTGGAGGGTCGGATAGGCATCGTGTGCGCGCCTCTTGTGCGCACCGTGGCCCTGTGCCGGCTAACCCTCATCCAAGTGCACCTCGGTCATTCGACCCGCGCGGTGCTAGCGTCGCTCGTCGGATGTTGGGTGCAAGTGTTTCTCTTTCGCAGGCCCATGCTGTCGATTTTCACGCACGTCTACAACTTCCTGTCGTCGTTGTCGACGGAAGATGGGTTCGAATACGAGCTCCCCGTCTCCGTTCGCGACGAGCTGCTAGCCTGCACTTACCTGGCCTTTGTCGCCATTACCGACCTTCGCGCGGGCTACTCCCCCGAAGTGTTCGGCACGGACGCCTCCCTCGGCTGGGGGGGAGTGGTCCGCTCCTCGATCAGTCCACATCTCTCCCAAGAGTTGTGGCGCCGGTCTGAGCACGGAGGGTGGCACACGGTCCTCCACAACCGAAGTTTGCTTGCCGTGCTGGACCGGGGAGTCCCATTAGGCCCCGAGCTCACCCAGCTGCATCGCGATTTGGGGCTCCCTTCCATTGAGCCCCCAGTCGCGCCGCACTGGATAAGCGAACTGTCGGAAGCGCTGCACTTCCGCCTGGCCTATAAATGGGAATTTCGAATGCCGCGTCACATCGACATCCTGGAGGCCATTGTTTTCAAGAGTCTGTGCAAGTACTGCTGCGTTCGCATGCCGGACTCTCGGATCCCTGTGCTGCTCGATTCTAAGGTCGCCTTGGGCGCGGCCGCCCACGGTCGCAGCAGCTCTCCAGGGCTTTCCCATGTCCTCAGCACGGCTTTGCCTTACATCTTGAGCGGTGGCTTATACATGGGTGGCCTCTATGTGCCCACCGACGTCCACAGGGCGGATGACCCCACCAGGAATCGGCCTGTGCGCCCCCCCTCCAGGGAGGCTCCTGCGTGGCTGGTCGACGCTGAGGCGGGCGATTTCGGTAGGTTCGATTGGGTCGCACTTGCTGACGCGCATTCTCCCTACCCCACTTGCCTATGGGGACGGCTCGCCGCGCTAGTCCTAGCACAGGGGCTCCTTGCGCGGGGGAATGCCCGGGCCGCCCATGGTCTGGCGGCACGTCCCCCTCTCTCGCCCGCCCCCGCGGCCGACGCATGGTTTGCAAGCGCGGCCGCCGCAACTGGGGTCGAGGCGCCGGTTTTTCTCGAAGCTCCCGGCACGCTTCCGCAGCCCGACCCAGCGCAAGCCGAGGCTCCAGAGATTCCTAGGCGGAACGCCTCTCCCGCGGTGGGCGGCGGATGCCTCGGGGGAAGGAGCGCCGAAGGTGCCGCTGAGCTCTCCGCGCTTCCCCATGAAGCCTCCCAGGGCGCGTCGCCTTTCGAAGCGCCCTTCAGGCCGGGTGCGGCCCCCGTTGCCGCTGGCCCGCCCGGCGCGCCCGCCCAGCTTTCGGCGGCCAGGCCGAGGCTCGCCGCCCGGACCGATCCCAAGCGACCCGCCAAGGTTGCAAAGGTGCGGACGGCGCGCGAGCTCCTTCAGCTCAAACCGGGTGCCGACCGGTCGGCCATGGAACGCCAGTTCCGGCGGTTGGCCACGCCGCACCGCCCGGACAGGGCGCGCCATCGCCCATTGTCCGCATCGGACCGCGCGGACGCCTCTCCCCTCTGGTCCAGGTTCTGCGACGCGAAGTCGCTCCTGCTTGGCGAGGCTTCTCGTTGCCAGCCGGGAGCGGGAACCCTACCTTGCCAGGAACGGGAGCACGGGACTTGCCGCGGAGGCGTTCGTGCGGGCCCGCGCCTATATGCAAGAGCGCGGCCGTGGCCAGACGGGCGCGCCGCCGGCGCCTGCCAGTGCTTGCAGCCCGAGCTGGGCGGAGCACGGCCGGATTTCGGGGCCTCCGCCTCTGGGACTCCCTCGGCGCCCTGCTCTTCGCGCGGAAGGCGCCATCGGCCAGCTCGTCCAGCGGAAACGGTTCGCGCTGAGCGCCCCCGTCGTGCGCGCGCTGCTCGTGCGCCCGCGGCGCTGCTCTCGGCGCCTGGCGCGGCCGCGCCGCCCCCGGGTCGTAGGGCCAGGCGCGCTGCCAATTTCGCGCTGTGGGGCCAGCCTTGCGCGCGCCATCGCGCCGCCGCGTCGGCGGACGAGGGGCGTGAGCCTTTGCCTTCGCGCTCCTGGAGCCCGGGCCTTGGAGCAGGCGCGCCCGGTGCCCCCTCCAGCAGCGCCCGGCTCGGCAGCACCTCGAAGTGGCGCGACGCGCCGCTTGCGCCGGGGGACGGCGCCCGCGTTCCGCATACTTTTTCCGACCGCGCCCCGCGACGCCAGTCGGACTCGCAGGACGCGCCGCCAGTGGCGTCGCCGCGGGGCTCTCGCCGCGCACCGCCGCCGCGGGGCGCTCGCGCGAGCACCCGCTCGGCTGGCCCAGCCGCCCGCTTCGCGGCCGCTCCGCCGCCGCGCGGCTCCGGCAGCGACCCCGCTTGCGACCTCGCTTCCGGAGCTCGCGACCCGCCCACGGTCACCGGCTCGGCGAGCTCCGGGAGCTTGCCGGTTGGCGCATTCTCGGCGCGGGGCGCCAGGATCAGCATGGGCCCTCCTGCTCGCGCCGCCAGTGCGCCACCAGCATTACGCGTCGACGGTGCACCCATGCGGGTTCCTGCGGATCGATTGCGGCCGAACGCGCTTGCGCGCATACCCGCGGCCTCGGGGCCCGCCGCCGCCTCCTTCGCCATGCTTGAGGCCGCACCCCGTGCCGGGGCCAGTCCGAGGTCTCTTGGCCCCGCGGCCGCGCCTCGCGCCGCACTTCTGTCGGTGGACTCGCCCGTTGATAGCGCGGATCTCCCCCAACCTAGCGGAGCCGCGCACGAGAAGGGCTCAGACGCGTTGGCGGCTGCGCCACACCTTCTCGACTCCTTGGAGCCCTCTGCGCGCGCGGCTCGAGGCCTGCCCCAAGACGGGGCGTGCGCTACCTCGGTTGCGATGCGCACCAGCCGAGTCGCTGGCCCAGCGGCCGCGGTTGCGCGGCGCGCGCGTGCCGACCGGCGCGCTCGCGCGCGATTCCTATCCTCGGTCGCCGCTGCCGAGGCCGCTCTCACCGAGGTTATGCTGGGAACAGGCGAAGAGACTGGCGAGAGCGCGGGAGAGCTGGCGAAGCGAATGCAGACGCTCTTAGCCGAGCTCGAGCGGCGCAAGGATGCGATGCGCATCGCCCGCTCTCGTCTTGCTGATTGCGTCAGAGAGGCCGCCTCCGCTGGATTCCCTGAGGCGGCGGCGTACTCGCCCTCGCCTGTGGCAGCGCCAACTGCCCTCGCGGAGGTGGACAGCGCCGCCGAGGCGGAGGCCAGGGTTGGTACGGGCTTGCACAGCGAGGCTGAGCCGGCGCGGCATCGCGACGAGAGTGCCACCCTTGCCTGGCCTCGGCGAGTCCCCCACCCCGCGCGCCGCCGCCGCCGCAGGGCGGCAGAGACGGAGCCTCCCAGCGCTCCCTGGTCAGGCGCTGTTCTGACTTCGGCCGGCGATCGGCGCAAAAGAGCTCTCTACGCGTTCGAATTGTGGTGCGCCGAGGACGCAGGGGTGGCGCCACTTCCGCTGTATCGTAGTGGGATCCTGCTGTCGAGGTTCCTCGCAACGTTCGGCGTGTGGCTGCACGACGCAGGTTTCCCGCTCAACATCCTGGTGCACGCGATCATAGGCGTCCAGGCACGTCTCCCTCATTGGAAGCCCTTTCTCACCGAGGCGTGGGGAGTGGCGAGGGCCTGGAAGCGGTCTCAGCCACCTCGCCTTCGGCCGCCAATGCCACGAGCGCTCTTGCGCGCTATGGTGGCAGTTTGTTTCACTTGGGACTGGCCAGTCATGGCCGCCTTGCTGCTGGCAGGGTTCACGATGTCCTTGAAGCCCGACGAGCTGCTGTCAGCCCGTCGCTGTGACCTTTTGTTGCCTTCGGATTGCCTTGAGTCCTCAGGCAACGCTTGGATGACCATTCCCGATCCAGTGAGCAGCATGTCTTACCCGCCACAGCACGCCTGGTGCTCTGACAAAGCGGTGGTTCGGGTTTTGGAGATGGTCTTTCGGCATTTGGGTCCCACCGATCCTCTGTCGACCTTTGGTCAAAGCGGCTTCCGTACTCGGTGGAACCATTTACTTTTGGCGTTAGGCGTACCGCTCGCCGAGACGCCAGCGGGGTTCCACTTGACCCCTGCTTGCCCCCGCGGCTCAGGCGCGACAGACTTTCATACGGCCACAGAAGATATTGGTCGTATCTTCTGGCGTAGTCGCTGGCGCCAGGCGTCTAGCGCGGAGCGCTTCTTGCACGACGATGCTTCCGCCGCGATGCTTTCCGCCTTGCCTGATGCCGCTCGGGCCCGTGTCACCTACTTCGATGGCGCGAGCGACTTCCTTGTCGCTTCCTTTCTGAACTGTGGCCCCACTGCGTGGCCCCTTCTGCTCGCGGCCGCCCGCCAAAACCTTGTCACTTCGCAAGGGCTTTGAGCCTGGGTATGGCTGCTGCGGCCACCTGGCCGTCCAGATGGCCTCGTTGGACGAGGTCGTCTGAGGGCGCCGCACGGCTTGGGCGCGGCGCCCCGCCATCCTTTACGGGTCGCCGCGCGCGCGCCGCGCGCCCGCCTCCGGGACCTGATCGCTTGCGCTGCGTGCGGGAGAATGCGCTTCTCTATTCTCCTTGCCGCTCGCGCCCGTTCAGGTCCTGCAGCTTCTCGGCCCCCTCCCCCCCTCCCCGCCTTACTCAGGCAGGCCTGCGGCGCTGCTACGGCCACCTGGCCGTCCAGATGGCCTCGTTGGACGAGGTCGTCTGAGGGCGCCGCACGGCTTGGGCGCGGCGCCCCGTCATCCTTTACGGGTCGCCGCGCGCGCGCCGCGCGCCCGCCTCTTGCGCTGCGTGCGGGAGAATCCTTTTCCTCCCCTGCCTGACGTCCGCTACGGTCGCTCCTGCTCTTGTCTGCCCCTTCCTCCGCCGCATGGCCCCGCTCCGTCCTCCTCCTGCGTATCCTGGGCCGCCCGCAGTGGAGCGAAGACCGCCGCGCCTCGAGCGCCGCGGCCTGACACGTACAGGGCCTTCCCCTCCCCATCCGGGGCGTCTCGAGCGGCGCAGCTGGGCGATGTGGCGCCTCCCACACCCCCGGCCGGCGGCGGAGAGGTCACCAACGGCGCCCTGGACATCTTCAAGCTGCTCCCGCACGAGATGGTCGCCCCGAGGGACCTGGCTGGCATCTGCAGCGGGCATGCGGACAATCGCAAGCTGTGCCCCCAGGGGGGGGGAGGCAGGAGGGCATGGTCATGAGCCTCTGTTCTTGAGGCCGCTTGCGGCCTCGATGTCTTTTATTCGATGGTTTTTGCGCCTCGGTTCTTGGGGGGCCTCTTGGGACCTCTTGGGGCCTCTTGATGCTTGTTCTTTGGCGATGTCCTTTGGGCCTCTATTCTTGGAGCCTCTTAGAGGGGGCTGGTCGCCACGGCTGGGTGTGCTGCGAAATCTTGGTCAGAGCGCGCCCCAGATCGTCGTCATCGTCGTCGTCGTCGGCGTCGGCGTCGGCGTCGGTGTCGTAGTCGTCGTCGTCGTCGTCGTCGTCGTCGTCGTCGTCGTCGTCGTCGTCGTCGTCGTCGTCGTTGCCAATGTCGAGGCCGACGACAGGTACATGTCCATCACCACCGCGGAGGATATGGTGCGGCGCCGTGACGGCAGCCCCTTCAACAAGGCGGAGTACTACGCGGAGCCAGAGAAGTACGAGTCCATCTTCATGGACCGGATTTTGCCGTACAGCACCGTCATCATCAACGGCATGTATTGGGACCAGCGTTTTCCGAAGCTGTTCACGCACGAGGATCTGCACAAACAGGTAGTGGCTGGGCACGACCGGCTCCTGGGCGTTTGCGACATCCGGCCGCACGTAAGAGTTGCACTTCGCCGGAGTGACCTTTGGCGCGGGCCCACAGGGATCCCCCCAGCACTGGCCCGCACGCTTGGATCTGGCCCCCCGCGGTCCCGTGAAGCCGCGCACCGAAGGTCACTCTTGCTTAAGGCCGCTCTTGCGAGCGGCCGAGCCATCACGTGCGATGCCGACGGATCGGTGCCCCTTTCATTTCTTCAACCATCGATCCTCTCCCTCCTCACTCCTCCCTCCTCCCTCCTCCTCCTCCTCCTCCTCCTCATCCTCATCCTCATCCTCATCCTCTCCTCATCCCATCCTCTCCCCTCCCTGCCATTCTCCCTGCCTCCTTCCTCCTCCTCTCCTCCTCCTCCTCCTCCTCCTCCCCCTCCCTCCCTTCTCCTCCTCCTCCTCCTCCTCCTCCTCCTCTCCTCCTCCCTCTCCTCTTTCTCCTCCTCCTCCTCCTCCTCCTCCTCCTCCTCCTCTCTCTCCTATGCCATCCTCCTCCTCTCCCTCCTTCTTCCGTTCCTCCTCCTCCTCCTCCCTCCTCCCTCCTCCTTCTCCTCCTCCTCCTCCTCATCATCCTCCTCTTCCTCCTCCTCCTCCCTTTTCTCTTCCTCCTCCTCCTCCTCCTCCTCCTCCTCCTCCTCCTCCTCCCCCACCTCTTGCATCTCCCTGGATCGGTGCCCACGCGGCAGTTCACCAGCATAGAGCAGCCGTTCTTCGTCTTCAACGCGCTGACGGAGAAGGTATCCGACAACCTTGACGACCCCGGTGTGCTCTTCCACGCCGTGGACCACTTGCCCTCGGAGCTGCCCCGCGAGGTCCGCAAGGAGAAGGAAGTAAGAAAGAGCGGAAGAAAGAAACGAAGGGGAGGAGGAGGAGGAGGAGGAGGAGGAGGAACCTGGCTGTATGGGGGGGAGGAGAGAGGGAGGAGAGAGGAGGACGAGTAGGAGTAGGAGGAGGAGGAGGAGAAGGAGGAGGAGGAGGAGGAGGATAGGCGAGAGGGGCAAGGTAGGTACGCTCGCGCCATATCTGATAGCGTACCCCACCTACCCATTGCTTCCCATTGCGCTCATATCTTCTCTATCCGCCGAGGCGTGTCATAGCGTACATTGAATTGCACGAATGACCCCATCGGGTTTTGCGTAATTCCAGCAGAGGAGCTGCGTAGATTGGATGAGGGGGAGGTGGCGGACAAGCATGAGGAGGCGGAGGAGTTGTTTTGCTGCAGGCGATTGCCGCACTAAGCTTCCGAGGGGATGAGAGGGCAGGCGGAAAAGGGCGGGCACACGACGCCCAACTTGAAGGCGTCCGAGAAGTAAAAGAACACGACGACCTCATACCGGCAATGCACTCAAGATCCACGACCACATAACCTGGATCCGAGAACTGGTCGAGGATCTTGTTCAGGAAGCCGTCCCATACAGCAGGACCCGCAAAGCCATACCAGCGGCCTCGCTCGACATCGTGCCGTCGGACATGCACTGCAGCAGCTTCTCCACCCGTGCCGCATTCCTCCCGAAGATCATGTCTGGGTCGTTCCGAGACGAAGATGAGCCAGCGACACGCTCAGCACCAGGAACATCAGTAGCTCCCCAATCGTCAGCCGAAAGGCTGACGCCTTCAGGGCCACCAGCATCACCAGCACCAGTAGACCGCACATCACCTCCTGGTAGTCCTCCCGATACGCCTGCTGCAGGCTGTCCACGACCGTCGGCTTCAAGGGCACAACCTCCCTCGTCGCCCGTTGCCTCAGAAGACTGCTCTAACTCATCGTCCATCTTGAAATACTCGCAGCGGCTGCCTTCGCCAGCTGGCGCTGACGCCATCCTCCGCTGCTCCAAGAGAATCCGCTCCTCCTCCTTGTACTGATTCTCCTTGGTCTGCTCCTTCTCCCTGATCCTCTTGAGCCTCCTCCTCTCTATCAGCTCCGCCTCCGTGAACTCCCGCTTGCCCGCCTTCACGGGCGCCGTGGTGGTGAAGGCCCACAACGTTCGCGCCTTAGCGGAGTTCGCACCCAAAGACTTGGCGGATGTGGAGGAGTCGGCACGCTCCTAGGACTCGTCGTGAACGCTGGACCGATCATGGCCATTTTCCTCACGTAGGAGGGTCCGTGCTCTCGAAGACGCCTGGCGGAGGCGGTGTCGGAACCATCGCCATCATTACCCGCGGCACCTCCTGAGTCGCATGAGCGTGAAGGTAGAGCTTCTTGAAGTTGAAGTTCTTCGTGTTCTTCTTCTTCTTCTTGCACTTGCCCTGCTGCTTCCTCTTGTAGAGGGGGATGGGCTTCCTCCTGCGCTGGTTCTTCCGCAGCACAGGACGGGACAATGCTGTAGTCTCAGGCGGGGGCGTAGGTGGTGAAGGCACCCGCTCCACCTCCTTGAAAGACGGGCCCGCCGCTCCACCAGCGAGGAGCCAAGCCAGTGGCGAAGGCGGTCGCAGCACCTTACGGATTGCTGGGGCCTCACAAGGAATACGGAACGCCCGAGTACACAGCCGGTCGACCTGCCAGTCGCTGACCACGATGAAGTCGCCATCGAAGAACCGGAGCCGATCAACGACATCTTCGGATACCAGTATATACCAGTCCAACAAACAGGTCGGATACCAGTCCAACAGGTAAGAAGAAGCGCATGAATTTCAGCAGGAAGCCGAGGGACATGAAACAGCCTAGCGCAGCATCCCTGGCGTTCGCAAGGCCTGACGCGGGCCCCACGCTCAAGCAGCAGGCAAAGGCCCGACAGCCCCAGAGGCTCGGGCTCAGAACTTGAGCCCGAGCGGCTTGAGCCAAAATGGCTACGGAAGAGGAGGCGGAGGATGAAAAGGATGATGAGGAAGGGAGATGACAAGGACAAGCAGCAGCAGCAGCAGGAACGGGAGTAGAAGGTGCAGGAGGAGCAGGAGGACGAGGGGAAGGCAGAGGAAGGGACAGGAGGGGGGCGACAACGATTGGGAAAGACTCGGATCCTGACAATAGTGGCCCGCGCTGGGGCGAGAGCGCCATTCTGATCGATGGGAGCAACGCGCCGATCCTCAAATGAGGCCAACGCTCCAGCGGGAACACCATATTGAGACACCAGAAACGCTCCGATCGAAAAAACACAGGGCAGACCAACTGATAAAATCATGTGTGTGTGTGGGAAAAATACGCGGCGATAGCGGGACAACTTCCGCACAGAGTAAGGAGAGAAGGGAGCGGAGTATTCATACTGAGTGACTGCAGTAGAGGAGGAGGAGAAGGAGGAGGAGGAGGAGAAGGAGGAGGAGGAGGAGAAAGGAGAATGGAGGAGGGGGAGGAGGAGGGGGGAGGAGGAGGAGGAGGAGGAGGAGGAGAAGGCTGGAGAGGAGGAGGGAGGAGGAGGACAGGAGGAGGAGGACTGTCAGGAGGAGGAGGAGGAGGAGGCGGAGGAGGAGGAGGAGGAGGAGGAGGAGGAGGAGGAGGAGGAGGAGGGCTGCCACCCGCGAGGCCTCGGAACACTTCGGGGACAGCCTCCTCCCTTTCCTGCCGGACCTGGCGTACGCGAGGGACCGGGGGCGGCGCGCAGTGGTCGTCTGGGGTTGTCTGGGGATCGCTCTTCCACCATCCCCAGGATGGACCCGGCCCAGCTCGGTGTCGGTGTGCAGCCGCCGTCCTTGTCATAGCGGGGCGGGGGGGGGTGGGGGCGCCTTCCCAGAAGGCGGGGTGTCTTCTTCGCATGGGGTCGGAGGCTTCTGCGAAGGCTGCCCCGAGCCTCGAGGCCTCCGCCCCATTCCGAGAGGCGCCTTGCTCTCTCAGGAGGCCCCCCCTTTCGCCCCGGCCCGCCCGCGCGAAGCCGGCGAGAGGACTCCGAGAAGCTCTCCCCTCAGATCCGCGGGGCGATCATCGCGGAGGGAGGCGGAGCAGGAGGAGGATGGGGAGGTCGGGGAGGGGAGGAAGGAGAAAGGGAGTGAGGGAGGGCGGGAGGGAGGGAGGGATGGAGGGAGGGAGGAGGGAGGAGGGAGGAGGGGGCAGGGATGAGGCGGAGGAAGAGGAGGAGGAGGAACATCAGGAGGAGGATGAAGAGGACGAGGACGAGAGGGATGGTAATGGTCATGATGATGTGATGGAGGTGGAGGCGCATTGTTATGATGGTGGTGGTGGTGATTGAGACGATGCTGATATGGTTGTGATGTGGTGATAGCGTGACGATTCGATGGTGGTGGTGGTGGTGATGAAGAGTGTAATCATGATGGTGACGGTGACGACGATGATGATGATGATGATGATGATGATGATGATGATGATGATGATGATGATGATGATGATGATTATGGTGATTATGACGAGTATGGTGATGATGGTGGTGGTGGTGGTGCGGTGTTGATTATGTTGGTGGCGATGTTGGAGGTGGTCGAACTGACGGTGATGGCGATGTCGTTGGCGATGGTATGGTGATGATGATGCCGATGATGATGATAATGATGATGATGATGATGATAATGATGATGATGATAATGATGATGATTATGATGATGGCGATTATGATGATGATGCTGCTGATGATTATGCTGATAAGGACGGTGATGTTAATGAGGATGGGGATTAAGATGAAGCTGCTCATGATCATGATGATGATGCTGCTGCTGATGATGATCCTGATGATGATGATGATACTGATGATACTCATGATGCTGATGATGGTGATGCTGATTATGCTGATGATGCTGATCCTGGTGATGATGATAATGATGATGATGATGATGGTGGTGGTGCTGGTGATGATGATGATGATGATGACGGCGATGCTGATGATGATGATGATGCTGATGATCTTGATTATTATGATTATGATGATGTTGATGACGATGATGAAGCTTCTCATGTAGGTGGTGATGATGATAATGAAGCTGTCCATGATTATGATGATGGTGATGATGATCGTGGTCATGATGATGATGATGATGATGGTGGTGGTAATGATGATGATGACGATGCTTCTGCTGATGAGAATGAGGCCGATGATGATGATGATGCATCTGATGATGAGGATGAGGATGAGGATGAGGATGATGATGATGATGATGCTGATGCTGATGCTGATGCTGATGCTGATGCTGATGCTGATGCTGATGATGATGCTGATGATGATGATGATGATTGTGGTGGTGGTGGTGATGATGATGATGGTGGTGGTGATGGTGGTGATGATGATGATGATGATGATGCTGATGATGATGATGGTGGTGGTGGTGATGATGATGCTGATGATGTTGGTGGTGTTGGTGAGGAGGAGAAGGAGGGGACGGACGAGCAGTAGCATAATAGAAAGAGGCAGAGGGGGAGAGGAGGTGTAGGAGCGACGCTGGGATTAAGGATGAAGAGGCAGGATAGATGAGGAGGGCCAGGATGAGAAAGGAGGAGGAGGAGGCGGAGGAGGAGGAGGAGCCAGAGGAAGAGCAGCAGGAGGCCAGCGTGGAGGTTGTGGAAGAGGAGGAGGAAGAGAAGGAGGGGGAGGAGGAAAAGGAGGAGGAGGAAGAGGAGGAGGAGGAGGAGGAGGAGGAGGAGGGAGGGAATGAGGGAAGGAGGGAGGGCGGAGGGATAATGGATGGAGGGAGGAGGAAGGAGGCAATGGAGGAGAGAGGGAGGATGGAGTTGGAGGAGGGCCACCGTTCTCAAGGCCAGCTGACTCGGGACTTCCGCTACATCGAGCAGCTCCGTAGCCTCAGCCGCGCGGACGCGGACGACGCGGGCACCGCCGGCGAGTACGCGGGCGTGCACCCACACGGTTCCCAGGGACAACGACAGGGGGGGGGCTGGCCGCACGGGGAGAATCGAAGAAGAACAATTGTATGCAAATACGTTTCGTTTTTGAGCTCCGAGCCGATTTCTCGGACCTGCGCTGGGCCGCCCCTGGCAGGCCCCGCAGGCCGGGGAGGGGGTGTCCAACGACATGGGGGGGGCTGGCCCGCGGGAGGAGTCGAAACAGAAAAAGCTGTATGAAAACAAGGTCGGGGACTTTGGTTTAGCGTGTCGCTCCGCCGTTTCTGGCACGCCACGCTTTGGCGCGGCACGCTATCTCTCCGAGTCTCCGGCCCCGCGAAGCGGAGCGACATGCTGTCCGGTTGCAAGGCTTAGCGCGTCGCGAGGGCCGCCGCCGCGACACGCTGAGTAAGCAAAAGCTCCTGATTTAAAACCGTCGGAGCTCCACCCTGACTCCAGATCCGCCCTACTTTGGCTTTTTTCCCAACTTAAAATTGCGTCGGAAATCCACCTATAAGAAGCCGAAAAAGTAGGGCGGCAATTTCTCCACCCAACATAAAGTAGGGCGGAAATCCACAGAAGTAGGGCGGAAACAGCAACAGAAGAGTAGGGCGGAAATTGGCATCAGCGGGGCTTGAAAAGCAAGGCGGAAATTCCAAGCCCTACCTACAATTTTTTCCCCAAAGCAGGGCGGATCTGGAGTCAGGGCGAGCCGATTTCTTGGTTCGGCGCCGGGCCGCCCCTGGCGCGGTCTCCGCGCGCCGTGGGGACGGGGGTCCAGCGCCGATCCATCGAGTCCGCGCGGAGCTCCGAAAGTCCATGTTGATGCACCTGGCATCGCTCGGACGTGTGCATTTTTTTCCCGGCGAGAACCATCGAGGACCATCCTGGATCATCGAGCAAACAAAACACGCACGAAACCGACAAATGCACGCGAAACGGACGTCCGAGCGATGGCAAGTGCAGGTTTTTGCGACTCGACGCGTTCCCGGCGTGCCCCGCCCGTAGCCCGACCGGCGCCTGCACCAGCTTCGACTCGCTTGCGCCCGCCGGCTTGGAAAATTGCACGCGGGTTTCTGATCATCAAGGTATGCATCGGCCCCCAATCGCCATTCATCGCCAAGCGGGGCCTGGGGCCCCCAATCCCGCCCAGGAGCGCACAGTTTTACAATCGAGGGCCTCCTGCATCGGCGATGCATCGCTACATCCAGGTCCTGGATTGGAGATCGAGTCTCCAGCGAAAAATGAGGCTGCGCTTTCGCCCCATCAAGGCTTAAGCTGAAGTGATCACAGTTGTTTAGCTGCCCCTTTTGGGCCCCCCATGTAAGACGCAGATGAGCGCCATAGCCTGACGGTCCCTCCCTGGTGGCGGCGGCTGTGCAGGCGGCGATTCGGGAGCACGCGCCGAGGCGCCCTGTTGTTGCTGTGGCTGCTGCGGTAGCGGGCGCTGTGATGTCTGCTGTTGCGGGGCCCTCTGGGCCAGCGACTCTGCACAATGAGCGACTCTGCACAATGAGCGAGCTCAGGATGCACAGGGCGAAGCGGAAGTCTCCGATGATCTTGTTCCAGCGTTGGAGGAAACTTCGAGCTGCGCGCCGAGCCCAAAGTTCACGTGAGAACGAGAAGCGCCGGACGGCCAAGCAGGCCAGGATGGCCACAGATGGTCCAGCCTCTCTTCTTCTCCCTGATGGCCTTCGGCCGCGCGCTGAGGCCATTCCACGTCTAGCAGGCGCAGCCGGCCAAAGCGCAGACCTCGGGAAGAGAGCCCGCTCTGGCATCGCCTTCGTTCACCGCTGCATCCCCGACGTACCCCTCTGATCAGCGCGCCGCAGGTTCAGCTCTGCCTTCCTTGGCGGACACACTGCGACGAGCTGGGGCAGCAGGAGGAGCGACCACATTATGGGGAGATCTCTTGCGACGTCATCTGCTCCAGCCCCAGATCCCTCACAATCTCGGGCGGATCCGAAGGGCGGATCCGAAGGGCGCTCAGGGAAACCGTCCTTTGGCTGTGGTGGGGGCGCCAGCGGTTCAAAAACCAGCGGGGCGGATCCGTACACAGGAAAGAGACGGAAATAGTTTGCTTCCTTGTCTGTTGGCGCGGCAGCCATCCATGGTGCCGCTTCCTTACGCGCTCATGTATCTAGATGGGTGGCTGCATACGTCGAGCATTCTGCACAGCTCCTGTGTCTTGTGCTACACGTTCTTGAGGCAGTGTATTGTCTGAGGATGTGTTTCTTTCCTCTGCGGTTCCGCATCCCGGATGCGAGCCCCTCTTAGACAGCGCTTGGCTGCAACAGGCCTCAGTCGTTTGTTTTTCCAGTAAGGCCAGGCAGCCCCTGATTATATCCACGCACGCGTTTCGCCCCCCAGTGGCCCTTCGGGCCCCGGAAGCCTTCGGGCCCAAGTGCCTGCGGTGCAGCTCCGAACGAGCATCGTCGACGATGGGACTTGGGGCGGATCGGAGAGATGCAGCGCACAACGGGGAGTTCAAGCACTAGCGACCCCTTCCACCTAGCCAGCCTGTCGAGGCCAATTGTACAAGTGAGGCAGCTGAACAAGATTCCTTGGTCCCCCGAGGAGCGTGCTCTTTCACGCTCGAGAGCCTCATCGCCGATGCATCGCCAAGTCCAAATCAGTGTCTCCCCCCATATCGTTCCCCCTCAGGCGCGCACGGTCCTCCGGCCTGCGCGACGCTGGAGCCGGGCGGGGGGCGCGGACGGCGACGAGCGCGGCGGCGTCGGCGGAGGGTTTCGTTCGTCGTTTGGCGTCCCCTGCGGTAGCAGGCGGCGTCGGCGGCGATCGGAGGAGTAAAGTGTAGGCCGACACAGTCGGAGTGGTGAAACAAGGTCTGGCGGGCACAAGTTCACTCGGCATCGGCATTCGACTGTGCCGCAACAGTCCCCAGTCGCTTTCGCTGAATGGACGTGCGTTTCGCCTCACACACATACATTCGGTTGTTTTGGGAGGTCGATTAGGTACCCCGCTGGGGTGCATTCGGAATGCGGTGCTGTGCGCACGTGGAGTGCTGTTGGCAGCTTTCACTGAAGAGCGTTTTGCTAAAGGGGGATCCGTCCAACCCCGATAAGGCACGGTTTGGGTTCGGAAGGGGCTCGCTGCTCCACAATCAAAGATCGGCTTTGCACTAGGATGGGGTGCTGAGAGCGGGGAGGACCCTGCCAGCTCAGTTCCTCCTCCTCCCTCCTCGTCCCTCCTCCTCCTCCTCATCATCATCCTCCTCCTCCTCATCATCCTCCTCCGCGGTGCAGGTGGAACAGTTCCACCTGCTCCGATGCTCTTGTGGGGCCCAAGGGGGATTCCGTTCCTTGCTGGGCGTCCCTTGTGGTGGTTTTCTGGCTGCGCCGCTGCGCCCTTCCCTCGTCGCCGCGGTCAGCTTCGCCCCGGAAGATTTGGGTCCAGGACACGCATGGGGAGAATTCCGGGCGGCGTGCACCGATCGACGAATCACGGCGGCGTCGGTGGCGACTGAGAGAGGAAGATTTTACGTCGAAATCGCAGAAATCGTTTGGCCATCGTCGGTCTGCGGGGACGCACTAAAACGGCGTCGGCGGCGGCCGGGGGAGGTCGCCACCGTGTCTTGGAGATCGACGATCGAGGAGGGAACATCGAGGACCGAGGAGGTTTTGGGCGTCTTTGAAACGTCCTTGGGGTGTTCTGGGGGGTCCAGGGGAGTCGATTCCTGCCGTAGTGGTTCCTCCCCTTTGGCATTGCCTGGGGTCGGCTCGCAGACAGTGGCGAGCGTGTCGGCGCCGGCAGCAATCCTGGGAGGGATGATTACCTGGTCCCCCGCAGTCGCGGATGAGAGTGAGGGGGCGCGGGTGGGCCGCGGGCAAGGACGACGACCACAACGCAAAGCAACGCAACGCAGCGCAACAAGCAGAACCCGTGCCGCGGAATCACATCTCGGCCACGCACCCTGGGAGGGTGCAAGACCGTTCGGCCCCCTCGTCTCTGACGCATGCCGAGATCGCGACGGAAGGCTTGGGGGGGCGTCCTTGCCAGGCACCCGGGGCTGTCACGGAGCGGCTCGGGACGAGGAGCCGGTCCCAGGTCAGGGAGCTTGCAGACCTTTGGGGGTCGGCGGCACGCAAGAGTGACCCTTCACCAGAGCGACCTCTGGTGCGGGCACCGCTGGCGCTCGGGTTTGCCCCCCCCCCCCCCACACGCCCCCGAAAGCCGCGCAGCACAGGCTGCCCTCGCCCAGGGCCACTCCTGCATGTGCGGCAGGCTTGCGCCGCGTTGCCGCCGCGGCGGCCCCGGCGCGGGCGTGCCAGGGTGGAACGCCCCTGGTGGGCCAGAATCCGCCGATGCCGAGCCATCTGCGCTCTCTTGGAGAGCCGCGATCGCTCGAGGTCGAGCCATCCACGCGGCGTCAGAGGCCGGCGCCGTCGACATCGCGGCGCGATCCAGCCGCAGCCTTTGCTCACGGCGGGCGTGCTCGCCCGGTTCAGCCATGCGCAGAGGGGGGTGGGGGGAGGGGGGAGGGTTTCTTAGAAGCACCCCTGCTTCTTAGAAGGCGCGGGACCTATCTATAGATGTAAGGCCGGCGCCTTCTAAGAAGCAGCCTGCTTCTAAGAAGCCCTCCCCCCTCCCCCCACCCCCTTGAGCGCGCCGCCAACCGGTTCTGGGCCCCGGGGCCCTCCAAACACCGGTCCCGCTCGGCGAGCGCAGCAGAAAGGTGGGGTCTAGCGCTCCGGTCGCGATTTTTCGGGGGTGTCGAATTTTTTCCGCAATGGCGGATCATGGCGGATCTCAGGGATCGTCGTCGTCATCGTCGTCGTTGTCGTTGTCGTTGTCGTCGTCGTCGTCGTCGTCGTCAATATCGTCGTCGTCGCCGTCGTTGTCGTCGTCGTCGCCGTCGTCGTCGTTGTTGTCGTCGTCGTCGTTTGAGGCATGTGGGGCGTTTCTGGAGGCTCTCGTCGCCACGGCTGGACGCGGCTCGGGAAGAGTGGCCAGGGCGCACCTTGGGATGGGTCCAGAGCGAGCTCCGAAGACTAACAGTCGGCACGAAGCGAAGGTTTCAGAGGACCGCGCGTTCTGCTGGGGCGCCCACACGACAGGACGGAAGCACGCTTTGTATAGTCGCAGGGATGGCGCTCGCGCACCGCGTCCGCAGCCTTGGCAGGGGCGTTGCAAGGTGAATTGTGCACAGCAGGCGGGGGGGCAGAAGAGGGCCGCAGCGGAGGAGGGGAAGGCTGGGCGGCGCACTTGAGACCATGACGGACTTCGCGTGCAGTGCGGACGGCCTCGGATTCCGAGTGGGGGGTGGGGGTCGTGCGAAGTAGGCGAGAGCGCTCTGAACTGGGACTGCTTGCCGGGCGTACCAGAAGGGGCGGTCGACCGAGTCAACTGCACGGTTGTCGTCCAGAGCGTAGCAGAAGTACCGTCCAGAGAAAAATCCATCGGGAGGCAGGGGCCCGGCCAACCCATGCCGATACGAGCGAGGGGTGGGGAGGCGGGGGAGGAAGAAGGCGGGCCAGGCGAGCCGAAGCAACTACACACCGCCACCTCCTGGCCCATTTGCCCATGGGTCAGCGCCACGCCCTTCCCACCTGCGACGCCTGGCGATCACCTCGGCGGTGGTTCGTGCCCCTGCTATCGCTCGCTACGGCGACGTCCCCTGGCCGGATGAGTAAAAACGGGTGAGCGCTGGGCCCCCTTCCCCGCCACCCCTGGGCGGCGCCCCGGGCGCCGCCCCCGCCTCCTTGTTCCTGGGACTTGGCATCGCTCGGACGTGTGCATTTTTCCTTCGGCGAGGACCATCCAGGAGCATCCTTGAGCATTTGGCGAAAAAGCCACGCACGAGACCGAAAAAAACACAGGGAATGGACGTCCGAGCGATGGCGAGGGGACGGTGTGCGGGGAGGGGTCCAGCGCCGACGCGAGTAAGCTCTGCAGGCTTTCCCGCCCGCGCCATCGTCGGGGGGCCTTCCAGGAGCTCTCCGGGCACCTCTTCGACACCAAGACCATCAACCGGGTGTGCGACCTCGTGGAGTCCGCGAAGGCCCGCCTGCACATCCTGAGCATCGACGTCGGCACCACCATCCGCGACGAGTCCTTCCTCTCCATCCTCGTCATGGCGCAGACGGACGAGCACCTCCAGGAGGTGGAGGCCCAGATCGAAGGCATGCCTGCGACGCATCAAGAAACGGGAAGGGCGGAGCGGGCTTGGCTCTCTGACAGGACCTCCCCTTTAGCAGCCCTCGGAGAGGCCCCCCCCCCCTCAGCAGCCCTCGTGCCCCCCCCCCTCGGGAGCCCCCTGCGAAGGGGGTGGCCCTCGGAGAGGACCCCCTGCCCTCAGCGGTCCTCGTGCCCCCCTCGGGAGCCCCCTGCGAGGGGGCCGGTCCCTTCGAGACCCTTCGCGGGAGCCTCCTGCCCTCTTTGCTAGCCATCACCCCCATCCCGTCCCGACGACTTCGTCGTCGTCCTCATCCTCGTCCTCGTCCTCGTCCTCGTCCTCGTCCGCCTCGTCGTCGTCGTCGTGGGCGTCGGCGTCGGCGTCGGCGTCGGCGTCGTCGTCGCCGTCGTCGTCGTCGTGGTTGTCGTCGTCGTCGTCGTCGTCGTCGTCGTCGTCGTCGTGGTCGTCGTCGTCGTCGTCGTGGTCGTCGTCGTCGTGGGCGTCGGCATCCGCGTCGTGGGCGTCGTCGTCGTCGTGGTTGTCGTCGTCGTCGTCGTCGTCGTCGTCGTCGTGGGCGTCGTGAGCGTCGTCATCGTCGTCGTCGTCGTCGTCGTCGTCGTCGTCGTGGGCGCCGGTCGTCGTCGTCGTCGTCGTCGTCTCGCGCGGCAGCGAGGCGTGGCGGCCGAGGCCAATGTCACGCTGCGCCGAGCGGGGCAGGAGGCCAAGGCGCGCAGCGGCGCGGTCCAGCCCGCGGGGCCCAGGCGCGGTGACGCCGACGGCGACGAAGACGACGACGACGACGACGACGACGACGACGGCGACGACCGCGACGACGTCGACCACGACGACGACGACGACGACGACGACGACGACGACCTCGACGACGACGGCGACGACCGCGTCGACGTCGACCACGACGACGACGACGACGACGACGACGACGACGACGACGACGACGACGACGACGACGACGACGACCGCGACGACGTCGACCGCGAAGACGTCGTCGTCGACGACGACGACGACGATCACGACGACGACGACGATGACGACGACGCCGACGACGACGACGACAGTGGTCGCCGGGGTCCAGGCGCGAGATCCTCGTCCTCGGCGCGGGCTTCGTGTCTGGCCCGCTGGTGGAGTACCTCCTGCGGCGCCGAGAGACCGCCGTGCAGAGACGGGGGTTCGGGCTTCAAGGTGTCTGCGTATCTTTCGCTCCATAGCAGCTTGCCTGCAAGCGGTCCATCTATCTATATATATATATAATTATAAATATACAAGACTGCAGTGGCGCTTCGAGCCATGCACCTTGGTCCTTGAAGTTTGGTATGCTGGCAGACTAGCAGGAAGGTCAAGCCGACAATTTAGCGATAACTCCTGGTTGCCTTTTCTGGCATCGCCGCTATAATAATGTTTTTCGTTATCCTTCCTCTATGCTTATGTTTCCTCATTTTCGCCATGCCCTGCGCATTCTCCCCATCCTCCTCAGCTCTTTTTGCGGAGGCGCTCCTCCTTGGAAAGCCTTTGGGGGCCTCACAAAAGTTGTTTCAGGCTTTCTTGAAGCCTTCTGGAGGCCTCCTGTGCGTGTTCTGGGGGTCTCTGGGGGCTTCCTCGGGCCACCCTGCCTCCATCCGCGGTCTCCCTGAACGACCCGGTCACGATTTGGAATGCTTCGGAGGGTGTCTTGGGGCCATCTTGGGCCGCCATGGGGCTCTCTGAGGGCCATCTTGGACCCCTGTTGTGCTGTTTGGGGCTCTCTTGGACTGCCTGGAAGCCCTTTCGGATGGTTGTGGGGCGATTTTGGAGCCTCCCAGGCGGCTTCGGACGCCCAGAAGACCGCCGTCTTGGAGCGTCGGGAAGCCGAATAGAGGAGAACCCCAAAATTCACCAGAAATCAACCGAACATCAATGATTTTTGCCTCTTGGGGCCTTCTTGGGAGTGCTCTTGGAGGCCTCTTGGGACGTTTCGGGACGATCTTTGAAGGTAAGACGGCTTCTTGGGGGTCGTCGCGGACTGTATAGGGTTGTTTGGGGAGCGCACCACGCCCTGCGAGGCCCGGGCGGCCGCTTCGAAGGCCGTCCGGAGGGTCCCAAAGCCCCAGATCCTGGGAGTCCGGTTTTTTTTGGGGTGGGTCCCCCAGCCCGGTCTTGCAAACATATAGGAAGAGGAGTGCATATAAATATATAAACTCTAATCATATGAGTAGTAAGAAGAATTCGAATACTACTAACAATACTAATAACGAGAAGACTACAAAGTACATACATGCATACCTACCTACCTACCTACCTACCTACCTACATACATACATACATACATACATACACACATACATACATACATGCATACATACTTACATATAGTTATACATCCATCCGTCCATCCATCCATCCATCCATCCATCCGTACGTACGCACGTACGTACGTACGTACATATATACATACATACATACATACATACATACATACATACATACATACATAAATACATCCATACATATAGAATACATACACACATACATCCATGCATGCATACATACATACATACATACATACATACATACATACATACATACATACATACATACATACCCACATATACATGCATACGTACATGCATGCATGCATGCATGCATGCATGCATGCATGCATGCATGCATGCATGCATACATACATACATACATACATACATGCATACACACATACGTACGTGCATACAAACAAATTAAACATGCATGCATGCATGCATGCATGCATGCATGCATGCATGCATACATACATACATACATACATACATACATACAGAAACACCGCCCCGCCCCCCCTGGGGCTCCGCCAAGTTCGCCACCATCGGTGGCAAATCCCCAGTAACACCCTCCCGGGCGTCCAAGAGAGCCCCCGGAGGGCTTGAAGACGGCCCAAGACGCCCCCGAGACAGCCCAAGAGTGTTCCAAAATTGTGCAAGCTGGCCCCCCGACGGCTCTGGAAGCCCCCAAGGGCATTCAAGGTCACCCTAAGAGGCTTCCACGAGTTCCCCACGAGCCTTTGGAAAGCCCTCGAGATGCCAACATCATTCAAAAAACATGAGGGGAATCAGCGATGTTATATTTTCTCGCACTTCCGCCTCCGATACGCCTCCGAGGCTTGCGCATTCCCCCCGAAAAGAGCTCCCAGGTGCCCCTAAGAGGCGGCGCGAAGTGGCCCCAAGAGGCCAAAAAATGTTCCCGTGACGCCCGACGAGGCACCACCGAGGCGCCAAAGACGCTCCGAGCAGGCCCCAACGAGCTCCTCGGAGCCGCCCCAGAGGTACCCAGCGCCGAAGAGGGCCCCGAGAGGCCCTCAAGAGTTCCCAAGAGGCCCCTAAGAGGGCTCCAATATGCCCCCAAGAGGCGTCCCGAGCGGCTCTTGAGGGCATGCACAAGCCTCGGAAGCGTCTCGGAGGCGGAAATGTGAGAACACAAAGATCATCAAATTTTCCTAGGTTGTTCAATGATGTTGGTCTCTCGAGGGCTCCCCCTGAGCTCTTTGGGGACTCTTGGAGGCCTCTCGGGGCGATCTTGGAGCCAGCTAAAAAGAACAGGGGAAATCCCTCGATTTGTTCAAGGTCGAACCCGTTCCCTCCTGTCCCAGGCTTTGGCGTGCCCCAACGTGCGTTTCCCTTTCCCCCATCCCTCGCTGTCTGGTCTTCCTGCTCTCTCTCTCTCTCTCTCTCTCTCTTTCTCTCTCTCTCTCTCTCTCTCCTGCTCTTGGTACTCTTCCGTCTCCCGTTCCACATCCTTCTCCTTCCTCTCCGCTTCCCACCTCCCCGCTGCGTCAGTTTCCCTCCTCCTCCTCCTCCTCCTCCTCCTCCTCCTCCTCTTCGACTCTCCTTCACATATTCCTCTTTCTGTCTCCCTTAGATATGCAATTCCGTCTCCCCTCTCCCTCATTCTCATCTCTCCTTCACTCTTTCCTCCCTCCGCCTCCCCGCCTCCCTCGCCCAGCATCTTGCTCAGCTACGTGGTAGGAGACCCAGTTAGGAAAACATGGGGGTTCTCTCAAATCCTTTTCTCCAAGGTCTAGTAAAGTCTACCCCACCCTCCGTTTCCTCCTGTCCCAGGCGTTGGCGTGCCCCAGGGTGCGTTTCGGTGTTCCCCACCCCTGGCTGTCCGTTCTCTTTGATCTCTCTTTCTTGCTCTTGGTTCTTCTCCACCCGTTCCACGCCCTTCCCCTTTTCTCGCCTCCTCCCAACTCACCGCTTCCTCATGTTCCCCTCCTCCCTCCTCCTCGTCTCTCCTTCACGCCTTCCTCTCTCCGCCTCCCTCATGCGGTTCCGTCTCCCCCAGGCCTCGCTGCGCGTTCTCCCTAATGTATCCCTTGCTCTTGGTTCCCTTGCGTCTCCCTTTCCACGTCCTTCTCCTTCCTCTCCCCCTCCCTCCTCCCCGCGGCTTCCGCTTCCCCCTTCCCTCCTTGTTCCTCCTCCGCCTGGTGTTTCAATGATCTGGGCCCCCCCAGGGCCTCCCCACACTTCTTGGGGGACTCCTGGAGGCCTCTCGGGGCGATCTTGGGCGCTGTTGGGGGTCTGCAGAGGAAGGCTTAAAAAAATAGGGATTCCCTCAAATCCTAGTTTTCGTTCCAGGTCGACCCCCCTCCCCCGTTCCCTCCTGTACCAGGCTTTGGCGTGCCCCAGGGTGCGTTTCCCTTTCCCCCATCCCTCGCTGTCCGTTCTCCTTGCTCTCTCTCTCTCTCTCTCTCTCCTGCTCTTGGTTCTTCTCCGTCTCCCGTTCCACATCCTTTTCCTTCCGGATCCTCCCACCTCCCCGCTGCGTCATTTCCCGTCCTCTCTCCTTCACGCCGTTCCCTCTCCGCCTCCCTCATGCTTTCTCGTCTTTCCAACGCTCCAAGACGGCTTCAGAGGTCCCCAAGACAGCACCAATACAGCCCAAGAGGTCCCCGCGACGGTCCGACTGCGACCCAAGAGAGCGCCAAGACGGCCCAAGAGGCCCCCAGGGCATCCCAACCAGGAGACCCCCAACAAAAACTAGAGAGGCCCCACCCCCCAGAAACCTCCAAGAGCTTTCCAGGAACATTCCCTCACGACATCCAAAGAGACTCCCAGCATGGCTTTGCCAGGCTCTTAAGGGCTCGCGGGCATCCCCCCTTAGGCTGCCCTGGGTCCTCCTCGTGGCTGCCTTGCGCGATTCCATGGAGCCTCATTCGGCGGTTCCTGAAGCGTCCATCAGGAAGCACGGTGATCCTTGTGGGATGATGTTCATCCTCATCCGACCCTGTGAGGTTGGCCTGGACTGCGCTAGAACCTGAGTGCGCGGGAAGATCGCGCGTGGCTCTCGTGCGTGCGTATATGTATACACAATCGAGCGAGAGAGAGAGAGAGAGACATGTACTCTAAGAAACGAGCCTGATCCTGAAACGGCCAGGTGATGTTGCCTCCCGATTGGCCCCTGTCTCCCATTGTCTCCCGTTGTTTGGTCCTCTGTCTTTCCTCGAGGGCCAGGAGATGGACAGCCATGCCCCTGTGGAAAGCTGTTTGGGGTCTTCTGCTGTGAGGGTGTCACTCCTCCCTCTGGGCCTCAGAGGATGCTTCTCGTCGCCACGGCTGGATCTGCCTCGAAGCTCTGGCCAGAGCGCACCCCGGGAGAGGTCTGGGGGTCCGATCCTGCAGGGCCGCGACGGCGAACAGGGAGTCCCGAGGGCCCCGGGGGGAAAGAGCGCCGAGGTCTTTTCTCGCCCGGGCCGTCCACACACGTCTCGGGGTGCTGGGCTGGTCCTCCCTGACTCCAGATCCGCCCTACTTCGGCTTTTTTCCAACTTAAAATTGCGTCGGAAATGCACCTACAAGAGGCCAAAAAAGTAGGGCGGAAATCCACAGAAGTAGGGCGGAAACAGCAACAGAAAGGTAGGGCGGAAATCGGCATCAGCGCGGGGCTTGCAAAGTATAGGGCGGGAATCCCAAGCCCTACCTACGAGTTTCCCCAAAGGAGGGCGGATCCGGAGTCAGGGGGGCCCGGGGGAAAGAGCGCCGAGGTCTTCTCTCGCCCGGGCCGCCCACACACGTCGCGGGGCGCTGGGCTGGTCCCGGCAGACGCCCCCCGGGGCCCACCCTGGGCCCGCGCACCCCGTCCGCGACCCTCCGCGCGGCAGGCGCCGCGCGCGGCCGCGGCCGCCTCGCCGCGGCCGCCTCGCGGCGGCGCCCTCCCGCGCGGGAGGTGGTCGCGGAGGGGGTGCGCGGGTCGAGGCGCGAGGGGCCCGCCCGGGCCCCCTCGGTGCCCGCTCCGCCCCCACCTCGGCGGCGAGCGAGCGGGGGGAAGCGAGAAGGAGAAGGCCTTCTCAGAAGCCGGCGGGACTTCCTCCCTCCTCCTCCTCCTCCTCCTCCTCCTCCTCCTCCTCCTCCTCCTCTCCCTCCTCCTCCTCCTCCTCCTCTCTCAGAAGCCCTCGCGCCCTCCGAGAAGTTTTTGGTGTCTTCGGGGAAGGCTTATAGACAACTTCTCAGGAGGCTGGGGAGCGTCCGAGCCGTCCGGGGAGCCCCGCCCCTTCTCGCTGCCCGCCCGCGCTCGCCGCCGACTCGCGGCAAGAGGCGCCCCGAGAACTCGCTCACCGTGGCCAGCATCCTCAAGAAGGACCAAGAGGGCGCGGGCACGGGGGGGGGGGGGGCGCGGGGGGCGTCGGGCTTCGGAGCACGGCGGGCACGCCGAAGGAGAAGAAGAACAGCACGAGGAATAACAATAACACGAACACTGACCATAATAGGTAGAAGAAGAAGAAGAATAATAATAATAATAATAATAAGAAGAAGAAGAGAAGAAGCATACGAATACTACTGAGAAGACGAAGAGTCTGAAGAAGAAGGAGAAGAAGAAGTGAATGAAGTGACGAAGTCGGCCTGCCAAGGGGCGCCCCACGAGCAGTCCGCATCTCCCAGCGGGCCTGCCGAGCCCCGGGGCGCCCCGCGAAGCTCGGGGTCGAGGACGGGGCGTGCCCCTTCGATGTCTCCCGGGGAGATCTTCACAACCGCCACGCGCCTGCCGCAGGCGGCAGGCCCCTCGGAAGCCCGCGAGCGGGGCCTTCCCGAGGGAGGGCCCCGAGGCCCACCGAATGGGGCGGCCTGGGCCCGAACGCCGGGCGGGGCTCCCGAGTAGGCCCCCGCCCCGCCTTCCAGGACGCCTTCCCCCCCCCCCTGCTGCCTTCTCAGAAGCGCCTCCTCCCCGCGCCAGCCCCAGACATCCGATTGTATGTGTGTGCGTGTGTGTGCGTGTGTGTGTGTGTGTGCCATGTCCAGACACGGTCGCATCGTCGAGAGGTCAGTCGACGGCGCTTTTTCTTAGACTTCGGGGCCTTTTGTGGACCTCGCCGGGCCCCGGGGCCGCCCCCAAAAAAACGATGCAGGCCGAAACAACCGGGTCCTGGGGAGCCTCAAACTCTCCGTCGCGAGATCTTCACGACCGCGAGCAGGTCCGGGAGCCGGAGCTCCGACGTGGCGAAAACATGGCAGCTTTGTGAATCTTGGAGCCCTACCTCCTCCTCCTCCTCCTCCTCCTCCTCCTCCTCCTCCTCCTCCTCCTTAGACCCAATCGTTCTCCTGCACTTTCCCGAGCCCGGAGCGATCGGTGATGCCCCTGGGGCCCGAAACTGGGCGAAGATGCCCGATGTGAAGATCCTCAGCGCCGGGATCTCGGGGACCTGCCGAAGCTGGGCGAAAATGCCCGATGTGAAGATCCTCAGCGCCGGGATCTCGGGGGAGCTGCAACGGAAACTCTTGGCGGCCTGGCGCGGCATGCAACAGTTGTGTCATCCAGTCCACACGTCCGCTCCGTAAGATGTGGGTTGAGGTTCGCGCGGCGATGCCCCGACGTAAGTCCGACGCAAATCCGATGCAAATCCGACGTGGGCCCGACGTAATTCAGTCCGACGTGGACCCGACGCAAATCGGGTCTCGAGTCGTCGCGTGAGGCCTCCAGGATTCTCCTCGTCCTGGCCTCGCTCGGAGGCGTGCACCTCTTGCTCCGCGAGGGCCCTCGAGGAGCGTCCTGGACCCTCGTGCGAAGCACAAGAAGAGCCCAGGACACCGCAGCAAAGAGAACAGGGGGACGGGACGCCCGCGTCGACGACGAAGACGACGACGGCGGCGGCAACGACGACGGACGACGAACGACGGACGACGGACGACGGACGACGGACGACGACGACGACGACGACGACGACGACGACGACGACGACGACGACGACGACGACGACGACGACGACGGCGGACGACGGGCGACGGACGACGACGACGACGACGAAGACGACGACCTCTCCGCGCGCGCTGCCGAGAGGAGGTCGAGGCCTTCGCGAAGCGCTTCGGGCCCCGCGTGCGGCCGGAGGTGGTGGACATCACCTCGACCGCCGCGGAGGCCGTGGCGTCCACGGAGGCCCTGGTCTGCGCCGCGGACGTCGTGGTGTCGCTGGTGCCCGCCAGCCTCCACGTCGGCATCGCGAGGCTCCTCCTCCTTCTCCTCCGCCTCCTCCTCCTCCTCCTCCTCCTCCTCCTCCGCCTCCTCCTCCTCCTCCTCCTCCTCCTCCTCCGCTCCTTTTCCTCCGCCTCCTCCTCCTTTTCCTCCGCCTCCTCCTCCTTTTCCTCCTCCTCCTCCTCCTCCTCCTCCTCCTGCGGATCGATTCGGTGATATGATGTTTAGCATCGCGGCTTCGGCTTCTTCTTCGGCCGTCGCCCCTCCGCCGTGGCGGTCTTCCCTGGCCCCCGCTTCGCTCGCCTTCCGTGGCCTTGTGCGGTCCCCACTCCGTCGCGCTGTGCGACTGCAGTGCCAGGAAACTGGAGCCTGTCGCCAACCCGCTGCCAAGCAAACATGTTTTTCATCGTGGCGATAAGCTGCCCCACTTCGGCTTCACAAGGGGCAGTTTGCGAGCCCCGGGACCATCAGAAATGGACCCGTTCCCGTCCTCCCCCGGGGGAAGCGGTCGGGGCCGCGGGCTGAACAGACCAGATCGGCGGGTGTCAGGCTCGTGATCAAGCACAAGAAGCAGATGGTCACCGCCTCGTACGTCAGCCCGGAGATGCAGGCGCTGGACGGCGAGGCCCGGCGGCGCTCCTCGTAGGAGGGCGAGCTGAGACAGCGGCTGCTGGCCTTGTGGCGGGGCCCGCGCCGCCACGGCTTGACGCAGCCTGGGAAACTGGTGCGCTTTTGAGCCCGGGGGAGGGGCCCGGCCGCCGGTTGGGAGCTGCCGGGGTCTCACCTCGCCCTGCTCCGAGCGACAGGAGCGGCCCCTGGCCGGCGTGGCCTCTGGCGCGGGCTCCCACAGGGGTTCCCCGCCCCCCCCAGCTCTGGCCTAACACAGCTTCGACCCTGGTCAGTCCTCTGGTGTCCGGCTAATTACGTCGGCCCGCGGCCCCATATATGATCCAGGGTCGAGGGCCCACGGGCCCCCCCCCAGATGGTATGGTCCCAGGATTCCTCGGGCCCCCCCCCCCAGATGGTATGGTCCCAGAGACGACGACGACGACGACGACGACGACGACGACGACGACGACGACGACGACGACGACGACGACGACGCCCACTTCTGACGGCCCCGGGGCCCGACCGCGGCCCCAAGTGAGGCCGCCATGGGCCATCTCTGCTGGCCCCGCGGGGGCCCGAGCGCGGCCACGCGTGGAGCCGAAGGCGGGGAGGAAGGCGCCCCATCCTCGGCCTGGGGCCCCGCGAGGGCCGACGCTCGCGGGGCCGACGCGGAGGCCCGCGGGCCCCCAGGGGGGCCGACCACTCTGCAGGGCCGCCGGCTGGAGGCGCTCTCTCCCCCGCAAGCGCCGGAGGTCCGGGGATCCCTCGGGCCTCCCCTGACCTTACAGAGAGCTATGTTTTAGCACTGGAGGCCGGAAAACCTAAAAAGCTGAGCGAAACAGCCTAAAACCAAGACGTAGAATAGCTTTTGGATAGGTTTTTAAAGTCGGGTGCTATTTCTTAGCCCTCCTGGAAGGTCAGGGTCCCCGCGGCCCCGCCGAGGCCGCGGGGCCCGAGGCCACTCCTGCCGCGTGCCGGGGCCGCTCCTCTGCGCGGCCGCGAGAGGCCCGCGCCGCGGGCGTGCTGATCATCAACGAGGCTCGGCGGCGAGCGCCCGCGCGCCGCGCCCTCGCCGCCCGCACAGAGGTCCCGGCCGCTGCCCTGCAGGGGCGGGTCTGAGTCCCAGGGCCGCTCGCCCCGGCTGGGACTGTCTTGTTTTAACGCATCGGGTTTATGTTCTAAAAACATTGGTTTTGTTCTTAGAGCATTCTTGGGTTCTAAGAGCATTTCGTGGTATGACTATAGGAATGCCGGGACGGTCGGTCCCTGCTCAAGGCGGGTTTCCGGCCTCGTGGTGCCTTCAGCAGCTGCGCCTCGCCGAGAGCGTTCCGGGGGAGCGCGGATCGTCCCGAAAACGGCCGCTGGAGAGCCGAGTTGAGACCCGCGAGCGGAAGGGAGGGGGGCCTTGACTCCGGATCCGCCCTACTTTGGGGAAATTCGTAGGTATAGGGCTTGGACTTTCCGCCTTGCTCTTCAGGCCCCGCTGATGCCAATGTCCGCCCTACTTCTCTGCTGCTGTTTCTCCGCCCTACTTCTGTGGATTTCCGCCCTACTCTATGTTGGGTGCAGAAATTTCCGCCCTACTTTTTCGGCCTCTTATAGGTGCATTTCCGACGCAGTTGTAAGTTGGAAACAAAAACAAAGTAGGACGGATCTGGAGTCCGGGAGGGGCAGCTTCCCCCCTCCCCCGTACCCCGCCCCAGGCCTTGGTCCCAGGGCCGCCTGCTACCTAGGCTCCGGGTCTCAGTCCCGGAGCCGCGCGCACCCCGCGGGGTCTGACCCCCCGTCCCGGGCCCCTTTCTGATGGCCCCCTGCAGGGGCCCGAGCGCTGCCCCGTGGAGCCGGGGTCGGGGCCGGGCGCCGCGAATCCATAGGCATCCCATCGTCGGAGGCCTGGTGGGCCTCGCGGTGCCGACGGGGAGGCCGGCAGAGGCCCCACGCCCGCGCCCCCGGCGCCTCCCGCACACCGCCGGCCCAGCCCTGGGGCCGAACGGGCGACCAGCGAGCTCCCCGGGAGGTCTGTGCGGGCCACGGCGGCCATGCGCAGAGGGGGTTCCGGTCCCAGGCCGTTGTCACTAAGAGGAGGTTTACTAAAGGGAGGTTCATCCACCGCCGATATGGGGGGAGGGGGGGAGGCTTCTTAGAAGCGCCCCTGCTTCTCGGAAGGCGCTGGCCTTGTAATCATCTGCAGATGCATGGCCGGCGCCCTCTGGGAAGCAGGCTTCTTCCAAAGAGTTCTTGCCCCCCTCCCGCAACCACCTCGCGCGCGCCGCCGAGTTCGGCGGCGAGCGAGGGGGGAGGCCCTCTCAGCAGGCGGCGGGGCTTCTCAGAAGCCCTCGCGCCTCCTGAGGGGTTTTGCCGCGCCTTCCCGGAGGGCTGCGGAGCCTTCTGAGAAGGCCGGGGGTGCTTCTCCCGAGCCTGCTGCAGGAGGGCCCGCCCCGCCTCGCCCTCCCCCCGCATGGCTGGTGGAGCCTTGCAGCGCGGCAGGGGGTTCGCTACATGCGTCTATGCCGTTGGGGTCGATGCTGTTACCGCAGCTGGCGCTTCGCGGTTTTGGATATGCGCTCGTACGTCGTTATTGTCGTTGGTTCCCTCGTGGTCGGAGGATGCCGTGCCCTCCGTGCGCTCGCCGCCGAGAGGTGGGCCTGGGATCTGCCAGGGATCGACTCGTTTCCCTAGGCGTTCCCTGGGCGTTCCCGAGTGATCTGCCAGGGATCCACTCGGTTCCCTAAGCGTTCCCTGTGGATCTGCCAGGGATCGACTCGGTTCCCCCGGCGTTCCCGAGGCGTTCCCTAATGATCTGCCAGGGATCCTCGCCCCCCCCGCGCTCGCCGCCGCGAGGTGGGCCTGGACCCGGGCATCGACCACATGAGCGCGGCGGGCTCGGCGCGGCGGCGATCCCTCTCCGCCGGCCGGGGCCCGCTCGCCTCGCCGAGAGCGAGGACGTGTCGGGCGCTGCTCCGACCAGTTCTCGGCGGTCAGTTGCAGTGGCGAAGCGTCCCCGGCTCGCCTATAGCCCCACCAAACAATGTTCTAAGAACCTTTGTGGCTCCCACGAAATGTTCTTAGGACATTCCTGGCGGGGACTGTCTTGTTTTAACACATCGGGTTTATGCTCTACGAACATCGTTTTGGTTCTTCGAACATTTTTGGGTTCTAAGAACATTTCGTAGTATGGCTATAGGAATGCCGGGACGGTCGGTCCCCGCTCAAGGCGGGTTTCCGGCCGCGGGGTGCCTTCCAGCAGCTGCGCCTCGCCGAGAGCGTTCCCGGGGGAGCGCGGATATCGTCTCGCGAGCGGCCGCCAGAGAAGATGCGAGTCGAGGCCCGCAAGCGGAAGGGAGGGGGGGGAGCCTGAGATGCGCGCGCTGCAAGAATCAGGAGGGACAAAAACACACAGACACAAGTAATCGTCGACTCCCGAGAAAATATGGGAAAATATGGGAAGTGTGGGGGAAGACAGAAACCGAGAAAATATTGGAAAATATGGGGAACATTGTTATCGGTGTGTATATATATAAATATATACCATCTATGCTCGCCCCCCCCCCACATGATCATACACATTCTCCCATCATCCCTCCAGTCATCATAACCCGTTCCTTCCTCCTGTTTTTCTTCATGATGGTTTGCTACGTTGCAAACCGCAATTCCGTCGAGCAATCCAAACACTTCAGCGCGAAGCGACTTCAGTCTTTCGCGGCGCATTGCAATCCAATCTCACCATCTCATGTTTATGATGCCCCTCCTCCTCCTCCTCCTCCTCCTCAGCATCCTACTCCTTCTCAACCTCAAGCTCCCCCTCCCTCTCTTTCTCTTTCTCATCTTTCTTATTTGAAGCTTTCTCCACCTTCTCCTCATAATTGTCCTCTCCTCCTCGTCCTCCGCTTCCTCCTCCTCCTCGATACCAAACGCCTTGTCCTCCTCGTCCTCCTCCTCATTTTCCTCCTCTACCGTCTCCCAATCCTCCTCCACATCCTCTTCCTCCTTATGTTTGTCTTCTTCCCCCTCCGCTTCAAAATCAAATGCATTGGCCTCAACTCTTCTCTTCCTCCTCCTCTTCCTTCTCCTTCCCCTCGTCCTCCTCATTCTATGAATCCTCATCCACTTCTTCCTCATGTTTGTCCTCATCATTCTCCTCCTCCTACCCCCTCTCACTTTCAAACTCCTTGTCCTCCTCTTCCTCCTCCTCCTCCTCCTCCTTGTCCTCTTCATCTTCCTTCTCTGAATCCTCCTCCATCTCCTCTTCGGCATGTTGTCCTCCTCCTATTCCGATTCCGCAAATTTAAACTCATTGTCCTCCTCCTGCTTCTCTTCCCCTCCTCCTTCTTTAAATTCTCCTCAAGCTCTCCCTCATGTTTGTCCTCCTCATCAGAATCCTCCTACTATTCTTCCTTCTCCTCCTTCTCTGAATCCTCATTCACCTCTTCCTCCTCCTCCTTCTCCTCCTCCTCCCAATGTTTGTCCTCCTGCTCATCGTCTCCTCCTCCTCCCCCTCCACCACCTCCTCCTCCACCTTCTCCTCCAAACCATATTTGCCCTACTCCTCAAAATTGAGCCCCTTGTTCTCCTCCTCCTCCTCCGCGTCATCTGGTGAATGCCGAGCTCCAGTGGCACCAGCCATAGTTGAGCAACATCCTCCCCCATTTTCCACCGCCTCTTCCTAGCTGTGGAGCGGCGTTCACAACAAGTTTTGTGAATAATGATTCGTAGCGGAAGGTTGCTCGCAAGGTTTGTTGTGGAGTTGCATTCGCAATTAGATTGGAGGGTAACGCCTCGAAGTGGAGAGGAGGGGGCTGAGTGATCAGGAGCCGTAGCAGCAGGAGGGGTAGGAGGAGGAATAAGAGGAGGGTGAGGAGCATGACGAAGGTGAGGAGCAACACCTTACTCACAAAACTAGGTGTGGAGCGGCGTCCACAGCTAGTTTTGCGAGTAATGTTTCGTAGCAGGAGGCTGCTCACAAAACTGGTTGTGGAGCTGCGTTCACAACTAGATTTGCGAGTGACGCCACGAAGCGGAGAGGTGGGGGTAGAGTGAAGAAACGAAGGAGGAGGAAGGGGGGAGGAGCAGGAGGAGTATGAGGAGGAAGAAGAGGAGGGTGAGGAACATGACGAAGGTGAGGAGCAACACCTTACTCACAAAACTAGGTGTGGAGCGGCGTTCACATTTAGTTTTGCGAGTAATGTCTCTTATCAAGAGGCTGCTCGCAAAACTGGTTGCGGAGCTGCGTTCGCAACTAGATTTGTGAGTGACGCCATGAAGCGGAGAGGTGGGGTTGAGTGAAGAAAAGAAGGAGGAGGAAGGATGGGGAGGAGCAGGAGGAGTAGGAGGAGGAAGAAGAGGAGGGCGAGGAGCATGACGAGGGCGAGGAGGAAGACATCACTCACAAAACTAGGTGTGGAGCGGCGTTCACAGCTAGTTTTGCGAGTAATGTTTCGTAGCAGGAGGCTGCTCGCAGAACTGATTGGGGAGCTGCGTTCACAACTAGATTTGTGAGTGACGCCACGAAGCGGAGAGGTGGGGGTAAAGTGAAGAAAAGAAGGAGGAGGGGGGAGGAGCAGCAGGAGTAGGAGGAGGAAGAAGAGGAGGGTGAAGAGCATGACGAAGGTGAGGAGCAACACCTTACTCACAAAACTAGGTGTGGAGCGGCGTTCACAGCTAGTTTTGCGAGTAATGTTTCGTAGCAGGAGGCTGCTCGCAGAATTGATTGGGGAGCTGCGTTCACAACTAGATTTGCGAGTGACGCCACGAAGCGGAGAGGTGGGGGTCGAGTGAAGAAACGAAGGAGGAGGGGGGAGGAGCAGGAGGAGTATGAGGAGGAAGAAGAGGAGGGTGAGGAGCATGACGAAGGTGAGGAGCAACACCTTACTCACAAAACTAGGTGTGGAGCGGCGTTCACAGCTAGTTTTGCGAGTAATGTTTCGTAGCAGGAGGCTGCTCACAAAACTGGTTGTGGAGCTGCGTTCATAACTAGATTTGCGAGTGACGCCACGAAGCGGAGAGGTGGGGGTAGAGTGAAGAAACGAAGGAGGAGGAAGGGGGGAGGAGCAGGAGGAGTAGGAGGAGGAAGAAGAGGAGGGTGAGGAGCATGACGAAGGTGAGGAGCAACACCTTACTCACAAAACTAGGTGTGGAGCGGCGTTCACATTTAGATTTGCGAGTAATGTCTCTTATCAGGAGGCTGCTCGCAAAACTGGTTGCGGAGCTGCGTTCGCAACTAGATTTGTGAGTGACGCCATGAAGCGGAGAGGTGGGGTTGAGTAAAGAAAAGAAGGAGGAGGAATGATGGGGAGGAGCAGGAGGAGTAGGAGGGGGAAGAAGAGGAGGGTGATGAGCATGACGAGGGTGAGGAGGAAGACATCACTCACAAAACTAGGTGTGGAGCGGCGTTCACAGCTAGTTTTGCGAGTAATGTTTCGTAGCAGGAGGCTGCTCGCAGAACTGATTGGGGAGCTGCGTTCACAACTGACGGGGGGCAGCCGACGGCCAACGCTGCCCTGTTGAAGCTACACGATTTGATTATCATCCTCCTGCTCTTGAAAAAATACCGTTTACCAGATTTTCCAGATTTCCAAGATCTTCCCAGAGATGGCCCTGGTGAAAAACGCTGTGTTTTCCTGATATTCCTGACCTTCCCAGGGATTACCCCTGAGAAAACGCTGCGTTTTCCTGATATTCCTGATATTCCTGACATTTCCAGAGACTACCCAGGCGCCGAGGCCTCCTGGGGCTGCCGAAACATTGCTCTGGTGGAAAACGCTGTGTTTCCCTGCTATTCCTGACCTTCCCAGGGATTACCCCGGAGAAAACGCTGCGTTTTCCTGATATTCCTGATATTCCTGACATTTCCAGAGACTACCCAGGCGCCGAGGCCTCCTGGGGCTGCCGAAACATTGCCCTGGTGGAAAACGCTGTGTTTTCCTGATATTCCTGACCTTCCCAGGGATTACCCCTGAGAGAACGCTGTGTTTTCGTGATATTCCTGATATTCCTGACATTTCTAGAGACTACCCTGCAGGCTCACGGTAGTCTCTGGAAATGTCAGGAATATCAGGAACATCAGGAAAACGCAGCGTTTTCTCAGGGGTAATCCCTGGGAAGGTCAGGAATATCAGGAAAACACAGCGTTTTTCACCAGGGCAATGTCCCGGCAGCCCCAGGAGGCTTCGGCGCCTGGGTAGTTTCTGGAAATGTCAGGAATATCAAGAATATCAGGAAAACACAGCGTTTTCTCAGGGGTAATCCCTGGGAAGGTCAGGAATATCAGGAAAACACAGCGTTTTTCACCAGGGCAATGTTTCGGCAGCCCCAGGAGGCCTCGGCGCCTGGGTAGTCTCTGGAAATGTCAGGAATATCATGAATATCAGGAAAACACAGCGTTTTCTCAGGGGTAATCCCTGGGAAGGTCAGGAATATCAGGAAAATGCAACGTTTTTCAGCAGGGCAGTGTTTCGGCAGCTCCAGGAGGCTTCGGGAAGCCCCAGGAAGCGTTTCGGAAGACTCGGGAAGGCCAGGAGGCCTCAGGAAGCCCCAGGAAGCCCCAGGCCCTCCCCCCCCAGGGCGCGCGAGGAAGAGGAGTAGCAAAAAAAGAAATATGTATGATCATGTGGGGGG